AAGGTAACTCAAAATGCTTATATTTCTCTACTTGAATTGTAAATACTGTTAATCTTCATTAACTGGGTATCTTGTATCCTTCTTCACCTTGCTTCTATTACTTGCTGAAACTTATGTCTACCTTCCGATTCTCTTATTCCTTTTTACCGTAAGAGTGGATAGACATTCTTGCCTTAGGGATCCTTATCAAGAAGCTTACACATCTTAGTACACACATGATCTGCTGAATACCTCATATTTATCCATCATAAGCATGATGCAAAAATCGATTTCCTTTGACTCAACTCTTCCACAACTATATCGCTTACCAACCGTCTTACTGGATGTAGGCATCATCGTATTATGGATAAGATAAAGATTAGGAAATTGAGTTCTTACAACTGAGCTCTACCACACGATCTAGAGTAAGAAGAAAGAGTGACAGTCCTAAATGCCTTGTAGTCTCCTGCTTATAAGTGTGGTGCACAACACACCCATAAACAAGACTCTACTAGACACGACTTGCAGACTCCCTATGACAGAACTGCTCTGATACCACTTTTGTCACGACCCAAACCGATGGGTTGCGACGGGCACCCGGTGCCTTACTCAACCGAGTACCAACATTACATATCATTCTTATCGTACTGTCATTGGCAAATGGGTCAATGGACCGTCATGGGCTAACCAGAATAAACATAAGGGAATACTCAATATAAGACGACCCAATCTGACATAAAAACTTATACATGTGACATAGGGCCTATTAGACCAAAATAACCACTCGTACACTGAACATAGGCCGACAAGGCCATACAATCTTTTACGTACATGACATCTGTCTACAAGCTTCTAAGAATACATAACTGTCAGAAAGGTCGGGACAGAGCCCCGCCATACTAAACAATACACGTATAAATCATACTGATCAAACAAGCAACTTCGGAGCAAATGGAGCGCACCAACATCTTCCGCTGAGATGACATCCTACTTGGAGGACTCTCGACCTGTCTATCGGGACCTGCGGGCATGAAACGCAACGTCCCCAGGCAAAAGGGACGTCAGTACGAATAATGTACCGAGTATGTAAGGAATGAAAATTAGTAAATAATAGTCATGAGAGAAACATGGAGTAAGATACTCAACATGTAAGTCTGAACAACTCTGTGAATCATTAATATTTATAATGTCATGCATATGTGTATAAATGTCATACCATGCTTAGGTATATGTCATAACATCATCAAGCCTCTGAGGGCATCCCATCATATCATCTCGGTCACTGTGGGCAAATCATCAACATATACCAGCTGATCAGGTGGTGGTGCGTATATAATGCCATAACCTTTTCCCATATCCCATATACATATAATATACGCGTATATAATGCCATCTGGTCATGGGTCAATGTACATGTATAAATGCATGAAATGCATAAGAAATACATTAATAAGATTTCTCGGGATGTCAAAAAAATCAATATGCTTTTCGGATAAACTTTATAAAATACGTATTTTTTGTGAGACCCATGAAAAAAAGATATATAATAATTCACACGGGGAATCAAGAATATATACACCTCTAGTATTTTTATGAATAGAGTCATTTATGAAAGTTGCGTATTTTGCTTGTTTCATTTTTATTATTTGGATCATGCCAAAAAGAGAGAAGGGATAGCCTTAACATACCTGAGCCGATTCTCTTGACAATCCCTCTAACACACGTCAATTGCGACAACACACGTGATAGCAAGATCGGAGTAGAAAAAACTCCGTATGATATTCTTGAGAAAGATTGCATCGTACTCCCTTAAAATTATAAAATCTCACGTTCCTAAGATGCTAAGAAATCTATTTGAATTTTTGTTTTAAGATAATCACGTCACAACCATATGAATCCTTGTATTAAATGGGCTGAAGCTTTCTTTGTCATTGTAGAGACTCAAAAAATGAATTAGAAAGGTTCACTTAACCTTTGGGAGTGGGCCCCAATTTGTGGCTTAGTTGGCCAAAGCCTTCTCCAAATTTTTGACACCTTTTATGTGAATTTAAGAGTCATTACATGGGTCTTGATCAAGATTACTTGGGATGCCACGTTGGGGGGAGGGGGGTTAGCTTATGTAAAGAATTGTAATTAATTATCCACCAACGTTTTAATTAACTTGGTAATCTCCCACTAGTTCAATAATTAACCAATTACTAACATAATTAAGAATTATCTCAAATAACTTAAAATACTACTCATTTTTAGCACACCTTATGCATCTTGCTATTATGGTCATGTGATACCTTGTATGATACTAGTCCATAAATACGGAGTATTGTAGCTTGTACTGTATTTTATCTCAAAATGTCAAACTTCGATGAAATTCATTTTCTTCGATTCGCTTACCCTTTCACCTTCACAAATTTACTTATCACTTGTTTGAAATAATATAATACTTATAACTTCAAAATAATCTCATTCCTGAGCTTATGTCGATTAACTTACGACGAAACTTTAACGTACGAAAATGCGGGATGTAACATCTCATTTCCGAGCTTTCATCAATTTACTTATGACGTACTTTCACGTACGAAAATATGGGGTGTAACATAATTCCCCCACTTTGAAACATTCGTCCTCGAATGTTGACTGATGCACTTATCATTTTCATAACTTATGTCTTCTGAATACTTTAGTACTCTCTTTGCCATCTAGGCAATTGTTCTGTGAATAAATCCAAAGGCCAGGGCATCCACCCATTTAAGCCTCTTTCTCACACCACGACTTGTGGTAAGAATTCTTCCAATCTCGTAGGTTTTGCTAACTTTTATCATGCAGTCTGTACGACTTTGACCTTGTAAGTGCACCTATGCGACTCTTCTCTCATTTTTCCTCCAGCTTTTAGCCAATCTCTAGGCCTCACTTTGTAAACATTATACAAATCTTGAGAAGATGTCCCTTTGGGCATCTATAAGTATACTGAAGTTCTTCGCTCGGTATTTTATTAAACTTACGGATATTGCTTTACCTTATTTCATAGACCCGGTTATCCATTCGTATGACTTTACTGCATCTAGGTAGGTCATACTATAACATAACTCTTACTTCGATTTATCGTTACTGAGGTCTACTACCAAATTCCAGGTTACTCTCATTGCTTATCCCATATGTATAAATCTAAGTCATTTAATGCTTTCTCATTACTGTTCATCTTAAGAATGACGGCCTAATCTCATCTCATACTGTTGTAACTTTTATCCATCCATTGTTGATTCACCTCAATGTTGATCTATAATTTACTACTAATAGCTTGAAACTTCTTACATAATACATTGCCACTAGGGCTTACGTTGCATCAAGGAATATTTGAAGTGATTTTCCTGATCCACTTAGGGGCGATACTATACTATACTTCTATAATCGTATTTCATAGCATCCCAATGTGATTTACCTTACGTGGTATTTTAATCCTGTACAATTCATGAAATCATTAATCAATCGAAGGCCCAAACGCCATCATTCATCTATCACAATTACACCTTGGTTCTACTACCAGGGCAGCATTCCATCTCTTTTAAATGCTACTAGTCTTAGACTCCTTTGAGTTCATTTAGACTATACTGAGCTTTCTATAATTTAGAGAAACCATCAGCTCTTTTGTTTTCATGGGCTTAATCCTGAGGATTTATCCATTCTCATCACCTTCTCACTCGCCCTTTCTTATCCTTACTCCTATCTTCCTAAAACCTTGTCGCTTTACCATACTTTAGCTTGCGACCTACATAATTATTTATACTACTCGCAACCCTTCTTCAACTTACTTGCCTCGTAGATTTCCTTATGTCATCCTGGAACTATGAACTATGAACTCATTGCGTCTAAATTTTGAATCCGTCACTGAGTAGATAGTGTAGTGATAGAAACAAGGAATATTGTAGTGATTAAAACAAATGTGCAGAGCTTTCCACTTCTACTTCTATTTCTGTGTTATTCTGATATAGCAATAATTCGGAGAGATATTCCACTTATTTCCAGTTTGAAAGTAGACACATCACAAATAACGACTTCTAAGATGTGGTACTACCTAACGAGCTGTCAATGATCATATTAGCCAATTGATTTGTCGTAATAACAAAGAGATTTTCTATTTGATGGAACCAGTTCTGTTTTAATTTGAAAAAACAGACATCTCCCATGAGTCATTTGGCAGGCAGAGGCGTATCCAGGATATAACCTCTATGGGTTCAACCTTTAAGATTCTTAATATTGAACTCATTATATTCTTAAAGTTATGAGTTCATATCTACAATTTGTTTTTAGTGAACTTTTGCACATAAATTTGTGCTCGCGTAGAAAGTTATAAGTTCAATTGACCTCGTTGGTATAGAGCTACATCCGCCCCTGTTGGCAAGGTAAAAGAACTTGGGATCGCTATCCATGAACACGTCGAACCAGCTCTAGATCAGTTTTCGAATGAATCATCCGGGGAGTTTTCCTACCTGATTTTACTTTTGCATTTACTTTTGCGCATTGTCAGTATAAAAACATTTCTGATTTCGAGTTTTAAGTTTACCATATGAACTGTCGATTCCGTTCTAGTTAAAATTCAACAAAGTAAACACAGAAACTACAGAGACTAGATCATAAAACAAGCTAATGAGTCGACAAAATTTTCTTGTTTAAACTAAGATCTCACCGAAGAAAGTGCACCATATTTTTCTACTTTAATCGTAGGCAAGTTAAAACAAACATTACAAACAAATAAATTGAGCAGATAGTGAAAAATCAAATTTGATAGTTGGTGTAAACAGCTAGCTCATGTATTAGAACTTGTTGATGAGAGATTAAGAGACGACTACAACAAAGAAAGCAAATCTCTGTATTAAATTGGCGCTTGATTTCATGCTTACAGAAAATGCCCGAATTGTAGATTGCACTTAAGGCTATAACTATCAAATTAATGAACTGACCACTATATGGTGGCAATACTCTCAGAGATGAGAAAAATTGAGTCATTTAAGGATGTATAAAGAATCTTATGGTTCAACTTCAGCACAATTATCAGTACTAGATGTAAAAAAAGAATATAATCTATCCTGCAAAATAGATTATCAAAACATTAGAAATGAATAAGTACATTCACTTTGAAATAGAGATAAATTAACTGCATCACCAATCTAATAAAAAATAAACTTTCTCCCTCACCCCAACGATTTCCCCTTTTGCCAGCTCCCCATTTCCGAGCTCCACAGGCTGATTGTTCCGAGTGTAGGCTTTTACTTCTTTTAATTGACTAAGCCCAAGATTGCTTCCATGAGAAGTAGAATGGCTCGAATTCTTCATATACGTTAATCGATCAATGAAACATGTAATCATTTCACTTGTTGATTGCAGGTCGAGTCTCCTAGGATGACAACTCCACAGCAAAGCGTCCACAATTGTTGGGCACTTCCCTGGTGAATCTATATCTAAATCTAAAACGTCCACTTGGGGGGCAATAACTCTATGTTGTAGTTGCAAATTTTTCCTACTGAACTCAATGCCTTTGTCAAAACGAATGGTAACTTGAGAACAAGAGGCCGAGTTTGATAGAAATTTCCTCAACCCCCCAAACTATGTAGCAGTTAAATCATAGCAATGCAAAACTATTTTCGAGTGCTTCAATTGGCTCGACTCTTTAGCAATTTTAAGTTTAGGACATAGATATCCTATATATTCTAGTGATACCAAATTTGGAGCATCTATCTCCCTTATTATGCCCCAAGAATCCTGAATCTTCAAGTGCTTTAGAGATTGACTCCCGCAAATGTTAAATGCTCTTAACCTTCTAGAATTTCGAACTTTTAATATCAAACTCTCAAGGAATTGTGATGTAGAAATAAGGTGCTCGGGAAATCCAGATATTCTCGAACTTGATAGCTCTAAAGATTTCAGATTCTTACATTCAACAATATTTAATCCTTTAAAAGAATAACTAGAATAAGAAAAGTGTTCAAGAGTTGGTGCTTGGAGTATAACACGCTGGTCTTTCTCTATCTTAATGGAAACTGACCTGATCTTTTGAAGATTCCGCAACTCAATCTTTTTCAACCTAGAACAATACTCAAGGATGAAAGTGACAATCAAAGGACAACTAGTCAATAGTGTCCGTAGCATGTTGTCCTCTAAATCGACACGACGTAAAGAAAGCTTTCTCAAAGAGCCCCAGTTCGCCACATGACTAGCAGATAATGAGTGATGCATCAGATCACAACGCGATAGAACCAATTCTCTTAAAGATTTTGCTGCCAAGAGAGCGAAAATAGGCAAGGAGCATAAGCTACCAGAGAATTGAGTATTTATATACGTGAACTCTAGATCTTTTACACCATTTTGAAGTGCAATACCGAGCCACTTTTCAATCAGAGGGAAAGCTTCACATTCATAAGAAACAGAATCTGAAACTTTTGTAAGTTCAAACTTTTCTATAGGGATTTTCCCGTCCTTGTATCTCTCCATGACTTTGTCCACAATTTTCATATTGCCTTTGTGAAAATCAAAGGTGAATTCCAACTTGGGATGAGTTAACCAGGCTTGTAGCCATGTTTTGGAGAGAATTCTCATATGCGTTGCTTCTTCATATCTAAGGTAAGAGAGGATTTTGTGAATAACGCATTCAGGCAATATGTTGGCTGTCGCTTTCCTTCTCATGGCCGCGGCCTTAAAATTTCTATGATACAAAACCCTAAATGTGCATTTGATCTTTGTCCGCGAGAAAAAGCTAAAAGGCCATCATACTGGCCTGGCAAATATAAAAAGAACATTTTGAAATACTACTAAATAATCTTTAAAATAATCATTCATTATGTTCCAATGTATTTGATTTACGTGCAAAGTGTTACTAGTTAGTACTTAGTACAACCATATGACGCTTGAAAAAAATAGTGAAATCGACTGGACAATAATCATAACAATAAATTTTGGATTCGAAGATAAAAGAATAATATTTTTGAATTTCGAGAGTCAAACTTCTTAACTTTGACCATGAATTAGGATATAAAATCTTTAAGTTTTTTAAATAAAATTTATATATTTAAAAACTATATAAAAATATTATAAATCACAATAATGAACAATTCAAAATATTTAAAAGGTACCTAAAACAATCGTAGTCAAAGAATAATCCATGTGACTCTCGAAATCCGAAAAGTATCATCCTTTTAGGGAAATTTGGCTTGAAGTGCCGAAAGTTGAATTTTTGGGAAGTTTGACCGGGGGTTTGACTTTTTGATATCGGGGTCGGAATTCGATTTCGGAAATTTGAATAGGTCTGTAATGTGAAATGTGACTTGTGTGCAAAATTTGAGGTCAATCGGACATGATTTGATAGGTTCCGACGTCGTTTGTAGAATTTGGAAATTTATTAGGCTTGAATCCGTGTGTAGTTCATATTTTTGAGGTTATTAGGTATGATTTGAGGCCTCGAGTAGGTCCGTGTTATGTTATGGAACTTGTTGGTATGTTCGGACGGGGACCCGAGGGCCTCGGGTGAGTTTCGGATGGTTAACAGATTGATTTTTGAATTTGGAAGACTGTTGGAACTGAAGCCTTCTGGTGTAATCGCACCTGCGGAAAAGTAGTCGCAGGTGCGAGCAGGGGTGCGCTGAAGCGATGTGCGCATGTGCGGAAGATGCTTCGCAGGTGCGCAATCGCACCTGCGCGAGAAGGAGCGCAGATGCGGGCAGAGGGCTGTGAGGCATTGGTCGTATGTGCGAGGGAAAATTCCGCACCTGCGTACGCGCAGATTCAGACGGATGCGCGCAGAAGTGAAAACTGGGCAGGGGAGTGGAGTCCACAAATGCGACGTTTTGCTCGCACAAGCGGATGCACATATGGGCAAATCTTGTCCGCAGATGCGAAAATCACTAGGGCAGAACCTTAAATTCGAGGGTTCGATATTTTCACCCTTTTTTCAGATTTTGGAGCTCGGGTTGGGCGATTTTGGAGAGAAAATTTTCAACACAACTTGGGGTAAGTGTTCTTAACTCCCTTGTGATTATATTCTATGAATTAATCTTCATTTTTGGTGTAAGATTATTGAGTCTTCATTTTTTGTGTAAGATTATTCAATCTTCAAGAGAAATAGAAGGAAATTTCTATAATGTCACAAAATGAATTTTTCAAGTTTGAATACCGATTTGGAGTCGGATTTGAGTGAAATTAGTATGGTTGAACTTGTAATTGGATGGGTTATTGTATTTTGCGAGTTTCGTCAGATTTCAAGATGTGGGCCCCACAAGTGTTTTTGGGGCGCAATTTCGATTTTTTGAAAAATATTAGTATTTTGATATGGAATTAATTTCTATAAATTGTATGGACTGAATCAAATTAATTGTGGTATATTCGAACCATTCGGAAGTTGATACACGGCATTGGATTTGGCTTGTTCGGCATTGGATTTGGCTTGTTCGAGGTAAGTAACTCTTCTAATCTTGGAGTTGAGGGTATGAGCCCTGAATTTTTGTATTTCGTGAATTGTTGGGAGGTGACGCACATGCTAGGTGACAGGCGTGTATGAGCACCTAATTTTTGACTATATTTGAATTTTAATCATCTTCTACTATGTAAATATTTTTCAGAATTAAATATATATATTTTTTTAGCTTTGTTAC